CTGTCTCTTCTTACCTCTTCCTATCTTTCCGTGTCTCTGCCTGTCTCTCTTTGTTTTTCCCTGTCTTTCCCTGCCTCTTCCCATCTCTTCCCGTCTCTTCCCGTCTCTATCTGCCTCTCCTCTCTTTCCCTGTCTTTCCCTGTCTCTCACACACAAACCTGTAATCTGCATTCACATTCGAGTACAACCATGGACATAGTATACATGTATCCCGCAAACGGTCAGAAAAGTGAAGACAACATGTAGGAAGAGACCATAGACATAATATACATAGTCTCATGTACATAATTATTGTTATAGTCTCATATATATAATTATTAAACGAATTTTAATATAGCTAAATGTTTTCATGCTCATTTATTCTCTCCCATTCTCTCTTATTTTCTCTAATTCTCCTTTACTCTCTCTCTCTCTCTCTCATTCCCTACTATTCTCTTCTATTCTCATTCTCCCTCGTTATAACCCCGTTCTCGTAATACGCACGAACTGTTATTCGACTCCGGCACGATGACAGCTCGGCGTGACACGAAGCCGGTCGCAAAGCACTGCCAATCGGTATCGCGGAAAAGAGGCAACAATGCCAGCGATAACATTGATAACCAAACAACTTCAAAACGTGACCTTTTATCTCCTTTTTACTGTTTGGAAAAGGAAGTTGACATTTTGATAAATATTATAACATGATGTTTAATAAAGATTAAATGGCAGACTGATATTAAAGTAAAATTAATTGTCGCAATAAGTTCACGCGATATAAAAATAATATGATTAGATATGTGTGTGTATGTGTGTGTGTGTGTATGCATGCGTACGCGGAATGTTTTCGTTTTCGTTATCGTGTTTTGCGAGATCTTATGAAGAAAAGAAGAAAAAGATAAGTCGTCATAAAACAGCGAGGGAATAAGATTAATATAGATAACATGCGTCTTTACTTTATTTCTCAAGAATTATTTTCCGCAACATAACTTTATCATACAAGGTTGAATTTGGCGTAATATAAGCTTTAATAAAATTTGAAAATTTTTTTAAAATATTAGAAAAAACTACGAGTGGTGGGAATATTTTGAAAAATATTACTATTTTTAAAAAATCCAGATACGCCATTGTAAAGTACATTCACAGCCATAAAACTTTTGTTGAAACATTTTTTTCATATTTCTTTTCGTTTCAATTATATTCGCTTCGAAATATAAAAACCGATTTTTTATATTTTATTTTTTTTGTTTCCATCCCTAAAATCGTTTTTTAGCACCAAAAAAATCATTTCGTTATCAGGGCTTACTAGTCTATAATTAAGCAAAGTTTCAGATTTTTTTAATTTTCACAGAAGATTCTTTGTGAGTTCAATATAACGTGTGTTACCTAAAATATACTTTTTTTATTTAAAATTCAAGAGTAATGTCTATATTAAAATATATCATATCGTATATTGTATATTATTAACATATCGTATATCGTATTATTTTCGAGAAAATACAATTACTAACTCTCTTAGAATATTCATTTCTATTTTATAATTTTTGTCACGTTGGGTTCACGCAATCTTAAAATAAATTACCTTAAATTACAAAACAAAGATTTATGTTGCATCCTACTTGATGATGCAAACATATATATTCAATTCCTTGTTCAGAAATTAAATGAAATCCATAATCTTGATAAATAATTCATAATCTTGAAGATAAAGGCAAAATAGTTAAGGAAAGGTTAAACAAATATTTTATGCTGAAATTTCGAGATAAATGAAAAAAATCATTTTCATTCAATTTTATTCAGTTGAAAATTTCTTGTTTTTGTAAAGTAATTAAAAGTGGTTAGATCAATATTCAGAAATTTCATTCCAATCTTACTTTAAAGACAATGCAAAAAAGAGAAAACCTTTTGAATCTTCTTCTGGTAAGACAAAAAGAGAAAATCTGAAGAGCTTAATAAAATGCTTTCAAGAGAAGAAATATAATGTGCGTTTTTTAAAATGCTAACAGCTTCCGGAAAAAAGAAGGCCATACCACTTATCAAAAAGATTATTTCATCTGATTATAATAATGAGTCAGAAGAAAAACATAAATCAGTTTCTAAATTGAGTAATGATGAAGCTTTAGCTCTTTTTATTGATAGTGATCTCACTAAAGCTCAATATAATTTAATTAGAGAAAAAGCAAAGGATAAAAATGCAGATATTTTTCCTTCCTACAATACCATCATTAATGCGAAGAAAGATTGTTATCCTGTGGAGTCTGCAAGAACAATAACTGAAACATGTGCGTCAAATGAAATTCAAGCTCTTCTTGATCACACTGCCCAAAGATTACTTAAAATTCCTCAGGTAATGATAGATGAGTCGACAAAGAAAAAAATAGATAAAATATTGTTGGTGACAAAGTGGGGTGCTGATGGAACCAGTCGATTTATTGAATATAAATAGAAGTTTACAAATATTGAAAATTTCGATAAGTATTTGTTTCTTTTATCTATGGTACCAGTGTGCCTAAAAGCTGTTTTAAAAGATGCAACAGAAGTAAGTATCTGGGAGAATCCTCGGACTTCATCAACGAATTTTTGTAGGCACATGAAATTTGAGTTTGTACAAGAGACAAAAGAAACAAAAGAAAAGAGAAAAAGTTTTCCTTGAATTTGGAAATATTAAAGAAAAAATACAAAATCTTTCTTGCACGAAAATTGAGAAAAACGGAGAAACAATCCTAGTAAGACACGAATTACATTGTACAATGATAATGACAAAATTTGTCAATACATAACAACAAATACATCTACGTCAAGTGTCCCATTTGCCATTGTAACCCGAAAGAAATGAACAAGTTAGAATTAGTAAAAGCCGGGACTGTCAATGTCGCAGTTTTTCAGTTTGGCTTATCCATTTTACACAAATAGATAAGATGCATGGAATGCGTATTATATGTCTCGTACAGGTTGGAATTCAAAAGATAGACCACGACAGATAACAATAAAGTATTGTTCAACGAAACTAAAAAACGAATTCAGTTGCGCAATGAATTAGGACTAATAGTTGACATTCCAAGGCAAGATAGTGGAACTTCAAATGATGGAAATACTACGCGTATATTTTTCCAAAATTATGAAAGAAATTGTTTCCAAAATTACAGGATTTGATGAAGATCTGCTAAAAAGAATTTATGTTCTTTTACAGACCCTAGTATCAGGAAAATACATAGACGTAGTTCGGTTTCGAGCGTATTCAAAAACTACAGCGAGACTTTTTGTTATAAAAAATTTATGGTATTATATGCCTGTAGCATTGCATAAAATGCTTATTCATGGAGCAGATATAATAAGTAGTTTTGTGCTGCCTATTGGATGAATATCTGAGAAGCCTCAGAAATCCAGGAATAAAGATATAAAAAGATGTCGCACGGAGCATACGCGCAAAACGTCACGAGTTGATACAAATAACGATTTGTATAATTATCTATTTATATCTGTAGATCCATACCTTGAAAGTTTAAGAACAAAACCGAAAAAGAAAGAAAAAATACTATATGAAGAAGCTGTTAAGCTACTTACGGAGAGGAAATAAAATTTTATAATGGATAATATAAGTAAAATATTGCATGCTAATGAAATATAAGATTTGTCCAAAATATTCCACTTTTGTTCGAAATCGATTGGCAGCATTATATTTTCTAAATTTTTATGATATCCCAGCTTGTTAGCCATAGGCTTCAATGATTTAATGATTTACATTTCTTTCAGTTCTTTTGGATTGTTTAATTAACATATGAAGGCAATTATCGAAAATCGGCCTCGACAACTTTTTCCTCAGAAGAATGACCTTTCATTAAAAAAAAAATTATTCCGATACAGCAAGAATCGAGGCTTACAGATTGATTTGTCCAAAAAATGGCACAAAAGTGCTACTGTGTGCCGATCCAAACCAGGTTTACCGACTTTTATCTGGTGCCGAGTCATGGCTCGACGTCGGCAGAACCACAGCAGCCAACATTTACTATCTGATCGCGGCGCGACGCTGGTCCAAGCCAAGCTTGCCAACTTTTGTCCGCGATATTGTTTTTCCACATCAGACAAAATCTAATAGATGTATATCATATTGGGAGTGTGCATTAATTTTAAGGGATTTTTTGGTAAAAATACGGCTTTATAGTGAATAAGTGGTTACAAATTGATCATTCAAAATATTGCCCATCGCTAGCCATTACTTTTTCCCATCTTTCTGGTAATAGGTAGATTTCACGTCGAAAGAACGACACATCTTTTGAGACTATACACGAATCGACCCATTTTTTTGGTATCTTCATAAGAATGGAAGCGCTGCTCAGACAAGCCATGAGTCATCGATCGAAATAGATGGTAATCGGAAGGAGCAATATTTGGAGAATACAGTGGGTGTGATAGGACATCCCAGTTAAGCGCTTCTAACGTTTCCTTGACCGGTTTCGTAACATGTGGCCAAGCATTGTCGTGCTGGAAAATCATTTTGTCGTGTCTTTTCGCGTAATCTGGCCGTTTTTGCTTCAATACTCAGCTCAATTGCATCAATTGTTGTTGGTAGCGTTCCCCAGTGATGATTTCGTTGGGTTGGAGCATCTCATAATACACTACACCCAACTGATCCCACCAAATACAGTGCATGAGCTTGGCGCCATGAATATTCGGCTTTGCCGTCGATGTTGATGGTTCGCCTGGCCTGTACCATGATTTTTGCGCTTCGAATTATCGTAGCGTATTTATTTTTCATCACCTATCACGATACGATGCAAAAAACTTTTTCTTCTGTGTCTTTGAAGCAACAATTCACAGCTCATTTTGCGCTTTTCTACGTCTCTCGGCTTCAACTCGTACGGCACTCAGTTACCTTGCTTTTGAATCATTCCAATGGCCTTCAAACGTCTGGAAATCGCTGATCGATTAACATTTAATGATTCTGCAAGTTCTTCTTGTGTTTGACTCGGGTCTTGATCGAATAAAGCTGCCACTTCCTTATCTTCAAACTTTTTCGGCTGGCCTGGACGTTCCTTGTCTTCCGTGTCAAAATCACCTTTTTTATAGCGTCGAAACCAGTACTCACATGTTGAAATCGGTGAAATATAATTATCATAAACTTCCAATAGCATTCGTTGACTTTCATCAGCACTTTTCTTCACCCGGTTTCAAGGCAATATTTGGGAATTAATTTCAAGCAAATGGTTAAACCTACAAAGTTAATGGTTCGTATTGACATTTCTTTATCTTTGAAGAAATATCTCATATTTTGTCAAAGCTTTTTATTCAAAATTGAAGAAATACTAGTAGACGAAACTGGTCACACCGCAAAATATCTTCCATCGGGAGAGTTGATTGCCACCGTCCTCGTTATCTGAAATAAACGAACTTGTTTTTTTTTCTTTATGAATGTGATTATCGCGTGAAATAAAATAAAATAATTTGAAGAAAAATTGACCAAATAATAGCGCTTGAAAAATAGTAGTAGAATTTTTACAAAAAATTCTACCTTTTCGCAGTCCGAGAAAATAGTAATTTTAAAAATATTTAAAAGATTATAGTTCTGGCAATAGTTTAATACATATACACTATATGTGTATAAAACTGCAAGTTGGTCGATCCAGTAATTTCTGAGAAAAATACTCACTCGATTTGAAAATTATCGTTTGGAGAAAAATGCATTTAAAGATTCTCATGTATCTATAAAGAAAATAATGAGTAATTTCAGTAACTTACTTTTAATTAGCTATACCATGACCATACAAAAGATCTTCCTCAACTTCAAAGAACCCATGTTTGTTAATCTTCTTTTGTCTCTTAGCAATTCTTGTTCCTTTCGACTCATACGACGCTCGCTGCTCAAAACGTTTAATGTGCTCGTTGTCTCTGCAGCATCCATCATCTTCTTTCCGCAATACAGATGTTTTGGTGCAATTGTCCAAATTAATGAATTTAAACTTTCGTTATTATCCTGAGTAAATTATTCGAGACATTGCTGTAATAAACCACCGATAGTTAAATCTTCGTAAATTGGTTGAATAACATTTAACACTTTGTCATTCATCTCAGTTGGCGCGCCGTATGGAGGATGTGTCCTTTAAACATTTATAACTCGATCAATTTAACGATTTTCATCTTGGTATATTAGGGACATATTTTCAAGGCCTCAAGCTATAATAAGTCGCAAAAAGTCAGTTTTTTACCCGTCACATTAGAATATTTCCTTAATTATAATGATATAATTTACTCCTACTCACATGATGTGTGAAATTTCCCTTTTTATTTTCTCCTACGTCAAAAAAGTGTTAAATAGAATAGGCAGGCTAAAAGTAGGAACATTTCAACTCGGATAGGTTAACTAGAATCAAAAGAGGTTGACGTATAGGTTTCAAAGTATCAAAATATGTGTTGAATGGAATAATAAGGCTGAAAATAAGATCAAATTTTAATTCAGATGATTGCGAGGATAATTTTAATCGCGTGCACCGAGTTGCTGGCGGGAAACCTCATATTGTTGCTTACATTATTGTGGCACTGCTCAAGATTTACAGCTGTTCGATGTTCGATAATCTGTAAATACAATCGAAGGTTCCGAAACAACGAAAAAGAAAAGAAACTAAAATATCACTACTAGGCGCCATTGAGTGCGTAAAAATAATAAATTTCCAGAAACATATTTAAATTGCATAATTTTGCGTATGTGATCCAGTCGCCCACAATTTCTCAATGTACTCTTTTCTCGAGTCAATGTTGATTATCGAAACTATGGAGTGTCTTCCCACGTAAGTTATCTCCAATTATAATCTTTATTTTGATTACTTTCATATCAAAGTTCATAACAGCAATAATAGCATAATTATATACTTTTTATCCTAATTTTATTAATACATTCTAGATAGTCGTATTTTTAGCAATATATAACCCAAAACACAAAACACGATATAATAGCCCAACAAAATAGCAACGTCGTACCAAAATGATGATTTAGTCATGTCGAGCATTTCCAGTATCGTACTCGGCGCTCGAAAATGGCAATAAATATCTGAGCATTGTAAATTCTCACGGCCATTGCCGTAGACGGATTGAACCGCACCGTCGAAGGCGTATCGTAGCATGCTCAGGTAACTGATGTAGTACATGAAACTGGTCATATCCTTGAAGAAGACTATAAGACCGGCGAGAGAGAACATGGCGCACACGATGATAGATCCGACGAAGAATCCATTGACAGGTTCGAAAGTCGCGCCCAATCCTAAGCCCAGGCTTTCGGAAATGAAGAAAGATAAGATATTGATGAGCAGATACATGAAGAAGCGAGAGAATTCAGGCGGTTGACTGGTCATGTAGTAGGTGATGGACGAGCCCAGGAAGCCGTAGATCGTCTGCAACGGTATTGTGCTCACCAATATGGCTATATAACAAGTTCTCAACTGGTACCAATTGTTGAAGTGCTCCTTCCGCAGAATGACAATCTCTAAGGGAAACTTGATCACGGCCGACATCAATCCGAAGAAACATGGGTATAACGTGCTCACCAACAAATAGCAGAGGTTGCCAAATATTTTGTTGGCATCATTGCCGGTGTGTTTATAAATAAGACCGGCCAGCACCGATACGAATAAGTGACCGCTCAGTTGGATATACACCGTCTTGCGCATACGATATGTTAACATCATGTAGCGCTGCAGCAAAACCCAGAATCGCATCAGTTCTGTTGGCGGGCACGTCAATGTTATCATCTGATTGTTGTTGGATATCTTCTGTCGGGTCATGTTGCATGATAACTTCGACGAACATATCTCGTCATTCGACTCAGGCCACTTGCTTGCCGCGATCAACTGTTCGTCGTAATTACCATACTCCTTTGACACCACTTCCAGCATGTAGTCCGCAGGGTTGTGATATTTTGGACACTGAAGACCTTGCCGAGCAAAGTAGTTGACCGTATCGCCTGGTGGCGAGCGATACATGCAGTGACCGTCCACTACCAGATAGATGTGATCGAACATCTCATAAAGCGTTGTGCTGGGTTGATGTATGGTGCAGATAATCGTCCTGCCGGTTTGCGCCAGTTTCTTCAACGCGGTTAAGCACTGCACAGACGCCGAAGAATCCAGACCAGTAGTCGGTTCGTCTAAGAACATGAGCGATGGATTATCAATCATCTCCAAGGCGATGCTCAGTCTTTTCTTCTCACCACCGCTCAGCCGGTCAGTTCGGGTCTCTTTGATGTGCAATAACATAAGTGTGCTCAATATATCGTTGATCAGCATCTGCCTTGACTTACGCGAAATTCTCCGATCAATCTTCAGATAACTCGCAATCATCATGACCTCGTTGATGGTGAAGTAGTCATGCAGATGGTTTGTCTGCTGAATGTAGCACAGCTGTTTTTTGCAACTGTACCGATTCTGCTTGTTACCTTGTTTGAGGTACTCCACCGTCCCCGTGTACAAGCCTTCCTGGAAGCCACTCAAGATGCTCAGCAACATTGTCTTGCCGGCACCCGACGGCCCCATAATGGCCGTCAGCTCGGCGGATCGAAAAATTCCGTTTAGACCTTTGAGGATCTGCTTCTTCGATCCGCAATATCTAGTGCGGACTGCGTACGATAGATCCAAGAACTTGACGTCGATCTTCTGATTGCATGTTATGTTGGTGAGGTAGAGTTTGCGCTCCATTGTGCCAGATTTTACGGTTTATTTGACTCTAAGTCGCCCCGAATATTTTCGTTATCTAATGATAGTATCTTTTTATAATCTCTGTTGATTCATCGATAATTTTAGAACATTGACTAGAATACTAACGAGAATACCAACCTTCGTAGCATAAAAAGAGATCACTACAAATTTCAATCTTGATTTTTCGTTAGTTGACACGTGCAAGAACTGTTTTCACATGCACGAATTTCTACCCACGATTTGCTACTTTCGTGCAGGTATTCCTTATTGGAATGGGTATCTCGATTGTAATCCCTAATTGTCTGAAGAAATTTCACTCCGTAGAAAGAAAGCACTGTTTGGACGTTGTTGACCTTTCGGACCCGGAAAAAGCGCTTCGACGATAGGCAACGGAATGATGGTCGAAATCGAACTGTGCAACATGAGAACCGAAAGTTTCCTCCTTTGCTGTATCAGCAACTTGACGCCCGAACGATGATGCGACGAGACTATACTTGGAATTGCAACGAGACGCTACTTTACCTAGCGAGGTAAACTTTAGCTAGGGAGGTAAACTTTACACTTTCGGTGCGCAGTCGTCGTTGTATTATTAAATATTTATATATTTGCCGTAAAAGTATAATTTTTTAGATTTAAATATATATGCAGCACAACGTGATATTTTCGCACTGTATTATAATTTCACACTGTAAAGAAAACCGAAGTAAATTATCTAGCTAATACTATCCGTTTCGCAAATATAGAAATTGATATATGATTTAAGTTACGTACGTACATACGAGACGATAGAGTCGTGCGCGTCACAT